AAGGACCGGAAGATTGGGCCTTGTGATGTACTACAGAAGATCAACGATAATGCTTATAGGTTGCGGCGTCCATGTTACTTGAGGACTTCCGATGGCTTTAATGTGAAACACCTCAGTCATTGTTTTATGGATTCTGATCACATTACCTTGAACTTGAGGACGAGTTCTTTCGAACCCGGGATGACTGATGCAGGAGGGCCCGAGTCATGTCAGATAACACGTTAATGGCTCTAAGGTATCATGAGTTAGTAGATCGGCGAAGGATAGCAAGTGATCGTGTAACTTTGACAATTGAGCCGTGTTTGGTAATTTGGCCAAAAATATGGCTACAGTTATCAGAATCATGATTATGACCACAATCTGGAAAGCTCGTTTCGGTGCGCATGTCGTGGTCACCCAACTTTGCTCAGTGTGTGCCCTTTTTATCCTCAATTCCGCTGTTTTCCCTTCCGAATTGCTATTTTTAGGAGATAATTTTTAACCCGATTTGTACTAGATTTTTTACAGAATACTTATTTTATTCCATATTTTCGTTTGGCATGATTTTTGGAATTTTGCCATTTTTGGTAAAATTCGGATTTTGGCTATAAAATCCGGCTTGTGGACTTATTTTGATCATTGCATGATATAATAAAATTCTCTAAACTTCAGAGACGTTTTCTTTGTGTTTTTTTCGGCGTTAATCTTATGTTCTTCCCCGTGAAGTTGCTGGTAGAACTAGCCTGCAGAATAATCACTATTCTGCCCGGCGTCACCTAACACTGAGTCTACTTCTGGTCTATCATTTTCAATTCTCATGTACTGAATTGATTTGCTTGCTCTGTTGCTATAAATGAAGATATATTGTCCTCGGATTTTCTTTGAGGCAGTTGTCTTTCTTTATTGTACTTTTTTCTTTATCGATTCTTTATTTCCCTGCATATGCTCTTGAATCCATGTGTTTAAAATAATTATAATTGGAGGGAGACATTGATATTTTTAGCTTCTGATGATCTAATTATCTTCTTGATGTTAGCATTTGCTCTAACTCTGATTGTTTCCCTTGACGTCTCTGGTGCGGGGTCCCTTGCTGCCGCAGTTCTACAACACCTGACAAAGGAAGATTTGAGCAAAATGTACTTTAGCGACTTTCGGATCTTGGATATCAATGGGGTGCCTTGCTTTTTTACACCGGCAGGGTATATATGTTGCTTTCTGGACATTGTATCTGTAATTGATCATTGTCTTTATGTGAAAAGAGGGCATGATGAGAACTTACTTCTGGGAGTTATGCCAACAGTTTTCTTATCTTTCTAAGTAGAATTGATAAACCAGAAAAAAAAATATTTAGTCCAGCGAAAAGCCATGGAAGGATTGATTAGATTGCTATAACTTGATAACTTTGATATTTCATCTTGCTTCCGAATTGTTCTGCAATTATCAGAAGTAAACTTCCCTTAACTCCCTCCTCATTAATGTTATACGTTTTCTCTCTTTGAGCTTTTGAATTCTTACCCTTTAGTTGGAGAAAAAACAAGTGTTCTTCAGAACACGAGTTGGACAAGTTCATGAACTTTCAGATATAAATGTGAAGATGGATTTGAAATTTCAGTTCCTTGAGAGCATGCAGTTGATCTTGCCAAAGCTATACTGGAGAAATCTGAAGGCAAAGTACGGTTGATAGGATTGGGTGCACGAGATAGTCTTCGACTGGAAGCTGGGTTGTGCTTGTATGGAAATGACATGGAACAGCACATCACACCAGTCGAGGCAGGACTTACGTGGGCCATAGGTAAGAGAAGATGGGCTGAAGGAGGATTCCTTGGTGCTGAAGTAATACTAAAATAAATCGAACAGGAACCATCCATTAGGCGAGTTGGTTTTTTCTCCTCAGGTCCACCTCCCAGAAGTCATAGTGAAATTCAAGATGAGAAGGGACAAAACATAGGGGAAGTAACCAGTGGAGGATTTAGCCCCTGTCTGAAGAAAAACATAGCCATGGGATATGTGAAATCTGGACTCCACAAGGCAGGCACCAATGTAAAGATTTTCATTAGGGGTAAGTCCTATGATGGATCTGTTACAAAATGGCCTTTTTTACCCACAAAGTATTACAAGCCATCTTAATTGTTTGTTGGCTCCTGAAATTTTCAGAATTTCACCTCTGAATTGTTGTTCAGCAATACTAAAAATGCTGCAATCAGTTCTGATCTTCATTACTATTGAGTTATCCAAGTTAAATGGATTCCCTTGTTTTATGTGAACTAAAAATTAAATTTGTAGGGCATCTTTATTACAATGTACTGGACTCGAATCCATTATTGTTTTACATACAGAAGACTTTAAACAACAGAATACAACAGGAAGGCATTGGGGTTTTGAAAATCCATCTTGCGTACAAACACTAACTCTTTGAATTAAGACAGTTGAATGAAATAATTAAGGAATGAATACTGATTAATGAAGAATGTTTCCAATGTCAATACTCAGAAGAGCTTGCTTGCAAATTCTTGAATGGTCTCTCCATTTTAACGCGAGGAAGCTGATGTCATGGCTAGTTCTTTGAGCTGCTTTAAGCTTCTTCCCAATTGTAAAGCCACCTTCGTTGCATATATCTTCCCGTTTTCTCTTCTTTCCAATTCTCCTCCTTCAAGAGTGAATTCAATTGATTCCTCCAAAAGCTGATAGAAACCTGTTGAGTTTCTGTACATTTCAAAAACCATCCCTATTTGTCCACCATGCTCAAGAGAATTCACAATGGTAGCTGTTGACCCCAAAAAATGTTGCCAACAGATGCCGGGCCCACTCGTGCATGTGCAAGCCTTGTCCAACACGCATGTGCCGAAGAACGGTCAGAAAGGTTCCAAAATCCGGGCGTGGGAGGAGCTCGCCGCACGAGACGTCAGAGTTAGGGCCTCCGGCAAGAAGAAAGAAATACGATTGTATAAGAAGCCAATCGATAAATAACAAG